CAAAGACGAAATTGAAATAGTTGAAGACACTCTCGAGACTGCAGCCAAGAAATCAGAAGACCGATATTCAGGCTACAAAGGAACGAGAAGAGAATCTGTCACAAGAAATGAAGATCAAAACCATCCACGCTATGGTATTCCCAATTACTATGCGCAGATGTGAAAGGTGGCCAATGAAAAAAGCTGGCAGGAGAAGAAACTATTCATTCAAAATGCATTGTGGATACCACAGGCTACCAGGAAGGCAAATAACTGCCAGATCAAATGAAGTCTGAACTTTCTTTAGAACTCAAAATGACTAAATTTAGGCTACCCTATACTTTGGGCACCTTGTGAGAAGACAAGTCTCACTGGAAAAGACAATAATGCTAGTAAAAGTAGAAAGCGGCAGAAAAAGATGAAGACCAAATATGAGATAGATTCCCTCCATCTTTGGAACAAATGAGCAAGATGGTTACGGTCACGACCTTTTAGAGATAATGAATTCACCGCGCTTTCATAAACCCGAGAAGTGACTTGATAGCGCACAACGACACTTTGGTTTTTATTTATTTAACAATACTTCTAAACGACCCAGCATCTCATCCCTCTTTAAGAAGGAATTAAAGACATGGATGTTTCGGCAGGCCTTCCCATCACATAACTCCTGACGCCCTTTCTTTTTCTCTTATTGTTCCCTGTTGCACACTGTGGGTTGTAATGTAGTGTTTTATTATTTAGAACTTTCTATTTGTATTTTATTGTATTATTGTTCGACTGTTAGCCGCCTAGAGTGGTCCTCACCCGACCAGATAGGCGGGATATAAATAAAATAAAATAAATAAATAGGTATTTGAACTGAAATAACTTAGAACCAGGATTAACGTCAGAGTAGACTGGAACAAGAATCAAAGAGAGCCAGATTCAAATCCTTGTTCAATCATGAGGTGCCCTGTGTGAATTGGCTACTCACACTCTTAAACCTTACATCCTCCACAAAAATCCCTACTGCCTTCTAAATGTAAAACACATTAAAATCTTAATGGGAGAAACAGTATAATATAATGATCATGGGCAGGGTGGGTAAACATCAATGATTTTTTTAAAAAATCAAATTGATTTAAATCACGGTTTAAATTTTAATAGATCGTTTTTATTTAAATTGTAAAAAAAATAGATTTTTAACATTTAAATCGTGATTTAAATTGCGACTCAAACCCATTTGATTTAAATCAAATCTAACCTGCTCAAGGGTTACAGAAAATCTGCCCCCCTTGACAAAAAAGTAAGTGAGATACTGTTTTCTTTAATGCCTGTTAATTTTTAAAATGCAGCTTTAGTTTTGTTTTGCTTTGACCGGCACAGCCAGAAAATGAATATGTAATTTCCTACAGGTTTGGATTATTAGCTGCACGTTGTACAAACCTCCCCTGCCTTTTAAACAAATCAATGAAACGCATATGTGTTTCTCACACAAACATCCTAAGGCTAATTACCTCTAAAACATTAATCTCATAACAGCTCAAGCAGAAACAACCTGGATTCTAACTTAAGTTTTCCCTAAGAATATAACAATGCTAGTTCAAATCACTTTGAAGTCACCACTCTAACTTAATATACTCTACTGGCATCCATTCACTGTTACTAATGAATTTTATGAAACAATTATTTTCTCAGAAATGGAAATTTGAATTTAAACCATGAAAGGGAAGCACACCCTTCTAAATAGTCATGTTTTAAAATGCCAGTTACTTCAATAAAAACAACATGCAAGTAAAGTTTTAAATGTGTCTGCCTATAAAAAAAATAAACCACATCAAAGGCTACAAATCTTTGCATGTTTATTTTGGAATGAAGTCCCCCTGACCTCACCAGGTCTTATACTGAAAATCTTAGCTGGATTGACTAGTAATCTCAAGACTGGATGACTATGCTATACTGTACTTTATGTGGGGCTGCCTCTGACATTTGTCCGGACACTTCAGTTTCACAGTAAGATGTCTTTTTTGCTGAATATAAATGAGTCATTGAAATATGCGAAACCAATTTCTGTTAATTTACAATATTCAGTGTGCGGGATTTGAAGGGGACTTTACTCAACATCTTTCAGAAAATTTGTATTATTGGTGTTCAGGAGAAACATGAAACTATCTGAACAAACAGTCTTATTGGCGTCCACTTGGGATACTTGAAAATGAGAAAATAGGTTATCATGATAACTTCAATTCAGCAGTGGAATACTACTAGGGTAGTATTATTATTTTTTTTAATCATCAATAGAAAGGCAAAGGATTCATTCCTTTTTGAACTTTCGTTTATAATTTTCCTACATTCTCCACGATATATTGGTGCATGCCTAAGGAAGTGAATTTATTTACGAAAGCTTGTGCTGACTGTTTTGATGTCTTAAGAGGTCTAAACAAAGGTATCCCCTCTTCTACATTTGCATTGTGTAAAGAACCACACAGAGCTCTGTTGTCGTTGTTTATGACTCATTCTGGTGCCAGATCTCTTGTCTATCGAAGTGCAGAACTGCCTACCAGGCACGTCTGTGCAGGAATAAGTGCTGCTCCATCACTTAATGCCTGTTTTGAGTGAAACTGCCAGGAATTTGGCCCCAGCCCTTTATGTTTGCAAACCAGAGTACTCTAACATAGAGTGGTGATCTTGCTCCTTCCCTTATTATTAATTCCACCTAATGCCATTTTTCTTCTAATTTTTCTTAGGGCTGTTCTTTGCTACGCCATCCTCACCATGACCCCCATGTGGTCCTTGTCAGCCTGAGCAATTCGTCCAGCGGTGTCCAACCTTGGCCCTCCAGATGTTCTTGGACTTCAACTCCCAGAAATTCTGGCCAGCAGAGGTGGTGGTGAAGGCTTCTGGGAGTTGTAGTCTAAGAACATCTGGAGGGCCAAGGTTGGACACCACTGAATTATTAGTCCAACCAAGCAGAGCTGTAAAATTTGGGCCGGGCTAATCAGGGCTGCTGAAATTTTAAGGAGCCCAAACACCGCTGCTGGAAAGGTGCAAATCCGTCTGCTGCTCTCCTCCTGATTTCAATCCCTTGAGCTGAAGGAAAACACAGAGCAGGTAAGCTGGGTGTGAAACCAGTAGGGCTGCTGGCCACTCAGACTCTGGCATCTCTCTCCATTCCTCATCTTCTTCCCCCAAATGCCAGCCTCAAGTGTATCAAACTTAATGATCCGGCAGCATTTGTTTGCTAGTGACAGCTCTGACAGAAAGATTTTGCCAGGATCTGCTGATTTCCAATAAAAACAGTGGTTCCTAACCTTGAATCCCCAGATGTTCTTGGACTACAACTCCCAGAAAGCCTGGTCAGTACAGCTAGTGGTGAAGGCTTCTGGGAATTTCAGTCCAAGAAATCTGGAGGCTCAAGATTGGGAACTATGGCAATAAAACTATTTAACCTCTACATCACAGCCCACACTGGCTCTCTCGGAGAAACAAAGAACTCACACCTCTGGCCTGAAGCTCGGAAAAAGGTTTCCCTTTTTCTATCCTCCCCTCCTAGCCTTCAGTAATGGTTTCCATTTTGTTCTGACTTCTTCAAAACACTGAAGAAGAAACGGACAATCTTTCTGAAACTCAGTAAGAGGGCTTCCATTTCTCAATTACATGCAGTCAAATTCCCCTTCCTTCTCGACAAGAGATCTTACTGAAACTGGACGTGTTCGGGGAAAACAACAACAAGCACTGAGGTTGCAACACGAATTTTGTCATGGCTTCAAAGATTGTTATCATATCAAAGCAAGCCAACTCATGGAAAAACAAAGCAATGACCATCAATTCATGTTGACTGCAACATGCAATACTTAAAGTGTTGTGCCAGCTGGGCAAAGGAGAACACGGACACACACAACCATATATATATGAAGAGTGAAGTCAAGTGGCCTTAGAAAGCATGGCTAACAACAAGGCCAGTGGAGGTGATGGCATTCCAGTGGAACTATTTAAAATCTTAAAAGATGAGGCTGTTACAAGGTGCTACACTCAATGGTTTTTCCTGTAGTGATGTACGGAAGTGAGAGCCAAACCATAAAGCAAGCTGATCGCCGAAGAATTGATGCTTTTGAATTGTGGTGCTGGAGGAGACTCTTGAGAGTCCTTTGAACTGCAAGGAGAACAAACCTATCCATTCTGAAGGAAATCAAGCCTGAGTGCTCACTGGAAGGACAGATCCTGAAGCTAAAGCTCCAATACTTGGCCATCTCATGAGAAAACTCCTTGGAAAAGACCATGATGTTGGGAGAGAGTGAAGGCAAGAGGAGAAGGGGACGACAGAGGATGAGATGGCTGGACAGTGTCATCGAAGCGACCAACATGAATTTGACCCAACTCTGGGAGGCAGTGGAAGACAGAAGGGCCTGGCGTGCTCTGGTCCATGGGGTCACGAAGAGTCGGACACGACTTAACAACTAAACAACAACAATGTATGTATGTATGTATGTATGTATGTATGTATGTATGGATGGATGGATGGATGGATGGATGGATGGATGGATGGATGGATGGATGGATGGATGGATGTTTGTAGGTATGCATGCATGCATGTAGAACAAGTCTTATTTCTACTGTGAAGGCATACTGAGTCTAACCATGCTGACTATCCTTTGAGTCCTAAGACACAGGAACATAATTTTAAAATAATAATAAAAACAAGTGTCAATTAATAGCAAAAGTTATTCTAATACAGAAAGAGACTCAACATGATGTGCCAGGAATTAAACATATTAGAGCTACAACTCAGTGGCAAACCCTGAACAAGTCTTTTCGAACAAACACACCTTTCTCCTTTTGATTTTTCAGAAGGCTGGCCCCTGCAAACACATCCACCACCCAGAAGGGTGTGTGACACCCCTTTCCCAAACAACAATTCTATGAAAAATAACTATGGCAGTCCTCCCCAGTCCCATATCAAGCTAAATTATTAGGATAACCAGGTGGACACCAAACCATGCGCAAGATTCTCAGGTCTCAAAAGCTTGCACATATTTCCTTACCCTTCGGGTACCGTAATAAAAGTACAGTATTACTGCAAAAGGTCCATTAAAAACTCCTGCCCAAACATCCTGAAACAGGCTGGCAAAGACGGCAGGGCCTATCTCATTGCCAATACAATTCTGACCTAGAGCGAATGGAAGCTTGTTTCCAAGAATTTCTGAAAGTGTTGAGTCACAATGATAGCTGGCACCAGACCACATAACCCCGGGGGGGGGGAGTAGATGACACACTAACAGGCAATTGCTCACCAAGGTTCAGAAAAGGGGCAAATGCTCATGAGTGGGATGGAGGGGGGAGAGTATTTCCAGGAAAGGTGGTACAGGGGATAAATTAGTTGTCCTCCTTTTTAAAAGAAAGAAAGAAAGAAAGAAAGAAAGAAAGAAAGAAAGAAAGAAGGAAAGAAAGAAGGAAAGAAAGAAGGAAAGAAGGAAAGAAGGAAAGAAGGAAAGAAAGAAAGAAAGAAAGAAAGAAAGAAAGAAAGAAAGAAAGAAAGAAAGAAAGAAAGAAAGAAAGAAAGAAAGACTGGAGGGCAATCTTTTAACTACTACAACAAGATCATCACACAGGCATCTAGTACATAGGCTCAAAACTGTCAAAATAAAATATGTCCATCTCTGTGTGTACTACGAATTGTTTCAACGATCTATCTACCGGACCTCTAGACGGCCCTTCGGACCGGGGGAAAACTAATGGAAGCAGCAGTACAAAAACAGCATTAAAAAAACATAATAAAGCTAAAATTAGTCAGACGGCTGTGGGGGTTAACTCTAACATAAAGCGGAGCATTTAGTGATGGAATATTTAAAAGCCTGCTTAAACAAGGAAATTTAAAAAGGGAAGGGGGGGCAGGTAAATCTTGGGCAGCCATTTGTTCCACGGACAAAGCCCATCTTCCTTGTTGACTCCTTCCAGGTCTCCCTCAGGGTGAGTGTCCTCAGCCGCCTAGCCTGAGATGCCCAGGTAGGATGGGCAGCTTCTCTAACTCAAACTACTGCTCCTAAAAATACTCCACGTCAACCTAGACCCCCATTAAATCCATCCAGCAACGAATCACTCAATTAACCAACTTCAAAACAGGTTCCTCCAGTCTATAAAGGAGTAGCCCAGGTTAATTTTGCCATGTTTTGGGGAAGGCTGCCATCTTTCAAAAGGTGGAAAGAGTCCTTTTAAATGGGATTTCCCCTCCCCCATCAGACATCATAGCAGTTTTCCAATGAATGTAGACCCCCTGGAAGTTGCCCTGGCTTAGAGGCAGCTAAAAGGGGGATTTCAGGAGGAGGAGCAGAACTGGGAGCACTTTACACTGCACCATTCTCATGCCACTTCCTCCTGTCACTTGCTTATTATTTTAAATATATACAGTGGTGCCTCGCTAGACGATGATAATCCGTTCCACTGAAATAGCTGTTTAGCGAAATCATTGTCTAGTGAAAAGCATTTTTCCCCATTGGAATGCATTGAAAACTGTTTAATGTGGTCCAATGGGAAAGAATTGTCGTTGTCTAGCGAAGATCGGCCATAAGAAAGCCGCTTTGCGAACCACTGATCAGCTGTTTAAATAGCTGTCTTGTGAAGCTTAGGTCCCGAAAACACCTGTCTTGTGAGCGCAGAGGGAGCTGTCAAAATCATCGTCTAGCGAAAATCTGTTTGCGAAGCAGGGACCAAACATTGTCCAGCGAAATTCCCCCATAGGAATAACTGTTTTGCGAATCGCTATAGCGATTGCAAAAAGTGAGTGTCTAGCGAAAAAACTGTCATGCGGGGTAACTGTCTAGCGAGGCACCATTGTACTGTATATATATTAAACGAAAGAGGCCAAATAGCCAGTGGAGGCCATAAAAGTTTTTATTTTACCCTCAGTAACTGGCAGATGTGAAGGGAAAAATCTCTCACACGCACCCACACATAGACACGCCCCATTAGCTCCTGCAATCTGGACCCTGCAAAGATGATCTCCTACCCTGTAAACAACCCCAACCTTCCCCCCCTTCTTATGGCTGCAAATTCGTTCCAAATCCCCTCCTCAAAGCCCACAGTTTCCATAGACACGTTGGTGTATACACCTGAGTGAGCTCTGATTTCTCCACCCTTATTGTAACTGAGCTCTAGTGGCCTCAACAGCTCAGCGGTTTAGGTATCCGACTGTGGGCCCCAGAGGTTGGAGGAGCCAACCTGTGTGGCCGTGGGCAACTGCACAATCCCAAGGCGCCCCTTAAAAAAATGGTCAGGGTAAACCACTTCTGTGAATTCTCTACCTGGAAAAAGTCACCATAAGTCAAAATTGACTTGATGACAAGCTGCTGCTCTTATTGTTGTTGTTGTTAACTAAGCCCAAATATTTCCAATAAAAACACATCTCCTGCCCCTCTTCATCTCTGCCTCCACCTCCCTGAGACAGCCAGCTGCAGTTCAGATCATAAGCCTTGTTGGGACAGGGACTTCCACCCAATAAAGGGAGAGGCACCATTAATGGCACTCTACAATCTGAATAATCTTTGGCCATCTCATGAGAAGACTCCCTGGAAAAGACCCTGATGCTGGGAAAGAGTGAAGGCAAGAGGAGAAGGGGACGACAGAGGACGAGACGGTTGGAGAGTGTCATCGAAACAACCAACATGAATTTGACCCAAGTCCGGGAGGCAGTGGAAGACAGGAGGGCCTGGCGTGCTCTGGTCCATGGGGTCACGAAGAGTCGGACACGACTAAACAACAACAAATAATCTGAAAACGAAATGCACTTCTTTGCCCCCTTGGGCTGTTTAATGATCACTTGGCCATTCTTCTTCCCCTTTCGTTTAACGCACATTTATTTGCCCACCATTCAGAAGTTTTACTTCTTGAGATGACGCCACACCGCATGGCACAGGACATCGGATGCTGTCTCATGCGCTGTGATTAGTCTTGGACGCCGTCCCAACATGATGGGGTTGATTACTGCTCTCTTTACCTCTGCGCCCCCGCCCTTTTCCACATGGCCTGCTTTCAACATCGCCCGCCTTGTTTTTTTCATCTCCGACAATCCACTTCCCTCTGGTTTCCCAAAGGAAAGGAAGCAACTGTCTCTTCTGAAGATGAAATTAAGCTGACGAAATGGATAGGGTTTTTTTTCCCAGAGTTTGTCAGTTACGCCAAACAAGAGGAAGAGGGTGGGGGTTATGAAGCAAGAGTGGTATCATGGAAGAGAAACAGGGGGGAAAAAAGCTGCAAGAAAGCCATTCTTAGTCAAACCAATGATATTATATTTGGCAGCTTGAAATGTATGATAGCACAAATATTTGTGAAACGTCTGCTCTACCACACGCATGAAGTGATATGCTACGCGGCAAGCAAATATAGTATAACAATGCATTATATATAAACACGCACAGCGGAGAGATATGGCCCATGCAGAAAGCTATTCCCGATGTATACAAGGGTGGAGAGGAAAATGAAACCAGAAGCAGAAGTCATTTGCTCGCTAACATCGTAACACATACAACAAATTCTAAATCTACCTGCCTGCAGAGTCATCGATCAATTAGGAAGCGGACATAAGCAGATTTGCAGATCCGTTTCCACTTTCTGCGCGCACACGCCAGCAAGAGAGACTCAGAAACATTCTGAGCGGGATGCATTAAATACGTTTAAATTGCAAGAAAGCCAAACATAAGTTTCTCCGCTGCCGCTTCCACCAAAAAAAGAGAGAAGCTTTCCTCAATCTTGCCCAACCCCACTTATGCTGAACATGTTTCCACTAGCTGGGGATAATGGGAACTGTGATCCCACATCTGGAGAGCCTAAAACAACTACAAACCTGCATATCCACCAGTGTCTCTGTCACAACACAGCAGGGACCAGTCAGGATGAGTAAGACCAAAATAATAATAATAATAATCCTTCCCATTCAAGCCTGGATATGCAGCAGCTCACATTTTAAGTCACGAAACAGGGTCACAACAAGAGATTTTTCAGGCAAAAGCAAAAAAACAAACAAAAAGTAACCTCTTGAGGCACCTTTGAGACTAACAAAATGCATCGTTAGCATAGCATCTGTGGATTACAATCCATTATGTTTTGGCAACACAGCTGTTTTCTTCATTTTTTTTAAATTTTGGAATTCTGTATCTTTCCTTTCTGGCTTAAACACAACATTACCACAGTGCCCTGTACACACACACATATCTCATGTCACGGAAGAGCTCAGAAAGCCTAACAAGAAGGTTGGAGAAACTCTGGCTGGCCAAATGTTTTCACCTCACAAAACTCCCACACACTCTCCCTGTGCACCATCCTTGGGTGGAACTGATAGGAACTGTAAACCAAAACATTCAAGAGGCTTCAAGTCCCACCCCCTGCCTTTGGCCTTTTATGAGGGACTCCAGGAGTTTTAAAGGATTCGGGGAGGCAAATGAAGCCACTTCTGAAGCCGACTCTGGCTGGCCAAATGTTTTCACCTCACAAAACTCCCACACACTCTCCCTGTGCACCATCCTTGGGTGGAACTGATAGGAACTGTAAACCAAAACATTCAAGAGGCTTCAAGTCCCACCCCCTGCCTTTGGCCTTTTATGAGGGACTCCAGGAGTTTTAAAGGATTCGGGGAGGCAAATGAAGCCACTTCTGAAACCGTATACAGTGGTGCCCCGCATGACGATGATAATCCGTTCCATAGACATCGCTGTTTAGCGAAATCATTGTCATGTGAAATCCATTTCCCCACAGGAATGCATTGAAACCCATTTAATGTGTTCCAATGGGGAAAATACCTTGTCGTCCTGCGAAGAGCGCCCATAGGGAAGTCATTTTGCGAGCGCCGATCAGCTGTTAAAATGGCTGTCCTGCGAAGCATGGGTCCCGAAAAAACAGGAAAGCCATTTCGCGAAGCCGCAGATCAGCTGTAAAAATCGTCGTCTTGCGAAAAAACAGTCTGCGAAGCACGGACCAAATCATCGTCCAGCGAAAATCCCCTATTGGAATGACTGTTCTGCGAATCACTATAGCGATCGCAAAACCTCATCGTCATGCAGATTCCTCGTTTTAAAAGGTTGTCATCTAGCGAGGTACGACTGTACTGTGTTTCTTCATCCACTAACCACACAATTGTGCGACGAGG